CCCCCCCCCCAAGAACGCGGAGTTTCGACGGTTTCATGAATAAAAAATGTTACGGTTCAGGGGGGCCATTTTCCCACTGTTGTCAGGGCCCCCTTAATAACCTCTAGTTTCGGCCGAGGCTGGGGTTCTTATTTTGCTGGTCATCCTCTTGTGGACTGCAAATGGCCGCCATATAGGTTTTATTGTGGGGGCTTCGTAACCGAGCTCACCAATGGTGCTCAAGTTCTTAGCTTCTGATTTTTTTGCGAGTCTCAATTTCTTAACTGCTAAGTTCTTAAGTGCGGGCGCTATTAGTTCGGGTGTACACAGAGGGAAGAGAGTGGTGAACTCTTCTCGCATTAAAAATAAAAATCGAAGGCAACCTACCGCAGGAGGGGAAGGTTGTAGAGCGGGGTCCTGTGTGACCACGGGCGGCATTAAACAACAGTGCTGTGAGCGCTGATTTGAAGGGAAGACAAAAGAAAAGAAAAAAAAATCGTGCACTGGTGTTAGGTTCTTTCCATGACGATCCCGCGTGGGAAGTCATATGTATTCGGTTATAAGCAAATCCCAAACTTCTGAAGTTGGGATGACTGCTGTACGTACCATATGCTCGCGGTAAGACGGGAGGTCCGACGCTCTTGATCGTTGCTCACTAAAATATATAACTACAAGCACGCCTTTCACCTTGGCTTTCCGCCCGAAGGTCACCGCCGTACGAGCTACCATGTCCAGCAAACACACCAGGCTTCTGGCGACTCCTCCGTAGAAACGCAAGGATGATGGTTGTGGCTGATGCTGATGTGGCTGTGCATGTGGGCGCATCATTGGACACCACGAGATTGCACCGCATCTGGGGGTGCGGAGTGCAGAGTCGATGTTGTCGCATACCCGTGCCCAGGGTAAATCCACCTGCGACCCCCTCAGACCGATGCCTTGCGCTGCCGTATGATGTTGCTTCATGCTCGCACGCCCGCGCCGTCGCTCACGGTTCAGGTTCACGGAGAGACTTGTTCGCAGTGCTGACGCGACTGCACCGACCATGAGGTTGCAGCAGAAGACATGCCTTCCTTACATGATTATCGTAGCGGTCGTGATGAGCATCTACTCCATATTTTTGGTCCACTTGACCCAGCCCTTCCGGCTAGGCTACGTCCCAGAGGTGAGACCAGAAATTACGGGAGAAAGGTGCACATAGTGGTAGTGTGGTTTGTGTGCAGCGACCGCTGCCATCTGGTCGTTGGGTGCACACGCTGGTACTGCAGCAGTGCATCCCGAAACTTGCATATATCCCCCCAAATGTCGAGCGGTACAGCAGTAGTAACAGGATAGATACAGCAGCTCCGAGCTCTCTCGACGTTTGTACTGCGTTACATGTGCTCTGCGTCATGTTGTAAACAACGAGCTGCTCATCAAGTTGAACAAAGCAAAGGCACATCACAGATTTCCTTCGTCTGTACTTGCGTCATCTGATATCCCGTCTTGTTGTTGGACTGGCGCGCAACTTCTCCCCTGTTTCAGAACAAAAACCAGCCGGGTGAGACTGTCAGTTTCAAATTTAAAACCGACCCCCTTGTGACCCCTACACCTCCTACCTACCCCCGGCCATCATGGTACCATCAGCCCGTCTCGTGTGTTTGCACGTGCCGGCTCAACCCCCCCCCCCGCGCATCTGAATTGTTGGCGCTGCGGACGACGTGATATCTTCATTATTGCGATATGTGCATCCTAGCGAGCCCCATAGGCTCTCTTGCTCCCGAATGTAGGGAGCACGACACTTCGGGGGCGTTCTTCGCGGGGCGTCTCGGCTGTAATTGCCTACTTCTCTGCGACCATGCACTTCAAACTCTTGCCTGCGTATGCAGAGCACGTGCGGTCTATTCACACTTTCCTTTCGTTTAGATGGCGCGACCGCTCCGCCCCTCTCCCCGACCCCTTTCTCAAGACGTACCCGGGCGGGCCGAACCCAAGGGTTCATCCTGGGCTAGGGACCCGTGCGGAGCCACTTCCCTGCCAGTGCACGCCGGAGAGCTTGGCGGGGCTGAAGGGTCGAAGTGAGGTGGTGATCGGCCTCAGCTTTCCGTACAAATACTTCAACAGCAACCACTGGTTTCACATCAGCGAGTACTATGTCAGGTGTGTGCGGGTATGTAGCAGGTGAATCACGGGTGTTGTCGGCGGATTGGCTCTTGTCTTCTTCCTCTTAGGTGATAGCTATTAATGACACGAGATACCTGTTTTTTAGCGGCATTTTTGGGTGCCTTTTTTTCTAGTGTGAGGGGCGGGGGGGATAGGATCGCCTCCACTGGCTTACATCACGTATTGTGCACTACGGTAGGTCACGTCTCATCTCCCCCCTGCCCCAACTGCCGCTTGCAATGCCATTATTCCGTGCTGCGCCTCCCCTGTACCCAAGCAGCCGGCACACTCATGTGGCGCCGAAACTCCCACAAAACGCCACCGTCTACATCGTGGCCCCCCACGAGCTGTTCGTGCCGAACCTCATCCCGATGACCTTCTTCCTTCTGCTCCTGGCCTTCACCGACGGCACGGCGAGGACCGCGGAGGTCTTGCCGCGGCGGGCGCTGGCCCAGCTGGCCATCGCCGGGGATGTGCTGGCGCTGGACAACAACGGCGTCGAGTCCTACGTCTACGACAGCTCTCTACCCGTGTTCCAAAGGTGCGACCCGAGGCGCGGCGATGCGGCCCGTTAGGACTGTGTTGCAGGGTGGCCGAACGTAGGGTGGTTTGGGGCCCCCTGGAAGCGGGAGATAGTCTTCTGTATGGGTGATGCAGCAGTGACGGAGAATGCTGTGAGAGTCACGCGTTTCCGCCCTGCTGGAGAGACGTATGTGCTCTCCTTGATGGCATTCCGAGTGTTCCACTGCCTGTGCTGTTTGTGCGCCCCGGGTTTTCATGTTTCACGGATATGTCCGGCAGAGATCGATTGCATACGTCCACAGGTGCCCATGACATCGTGCGATTGCCCACTGGTCTCCCCCACTCGGCCTGGTCCACCCATTCCGGTTTGGTAGAGAAATGCGAGTATGTTTGAGCGCGCCTCCTAGGCGTCATTGCCGGTGATACCCCTGTCCATTCCCCTCACGTCGCGCGCGGTCTTCGTGCAAACCACCGGCCTCGTCTCGGGTTACGAATCACGAATCCCGACCGGTCAGGACTCAACGGTATCAGCCGGGGGAGCGCGAGGCCGCACGGCCATCCCGGAAGTTGACGAAGTTGTCGGGCCATTCCGGAGAAGACGAGGAGAGCACAAGAAATGCGGCAGCAGCCTCGGCCGAGGTCGCAGCAGCCTTGGCCGATGCAGCGGCCGCTGCCGGCGTTTCCGACCCCGCTATCACCGCCAGAAGAGCGGGCCGCGGTGGCAATGGCGGCGTTGCCCAGCGATATCGGCGGCGGCAGTTGCTGCACGGGCAGGCACCAGGAGGCTCGGGTGCCGCGGACACGAGCAACGCTACGAGCGGTAACCATCTGCGGTTGCCCGAAAGAAACTACAACTGGGAGGACAACGGGCGACTTGCCTGGGCCCCGCTCGGAGACGGGGAAAACGGTGGCGAGGTGACGGGCGGGGAGGGAGGCTGGGGAAGGGAGGAGCCAGTGGGGCGAGAAGCGAAGGTTTATGACGATGGTGATGCCAGTGTGGTTTTTGATTTTGACGTCGGGGGCGACCACACCGGAGAGCCGCCTGTAGGGGGTGAGATAGCCGCAAGAAGAGTCTTGGGCGTGGCGGAGTCCTTGGCGGCGGGGATGGCGGCGGGCCAGCAGCTTGATCAGGGGTCGACGGCCTACAGAGATGCGGGCAGGACAGACGGCAGCGGCAGAGACCGCAGCAGTCTCAGGTATAACCGCGGCCCCCCAGAGCTAGACAATGCTGCCGCCACCTCGCGAATATTGACGGCGCGATTAGACGACAGCCCGGCAGCACGAGCAGCAGAAGCATCCACAACGGCGGCGGACCCGAACGCAATCGATCAAGCAGCAGGCGCAAGCGTAAGCCGACGTCGAAAAGCCGGGGCGCAACAACATGGGCGTCGCGATGATGCCCGCCGCGCGGAGTACCAGTACGCTGCGAGGGCGGAGGCGGAGGAGGTGGAGGGGCCGGAGTTCTTCCCTCTCCCCACCCTGGCCGGGCAGCGGCAGCAGCCACGCACCAGGCCGTGCGCGTGCGCGCGATATATCGGGGAATTCGGGGCTGCGCCGGTGGAACGGGGCTACTGGTTCCGCGAGGAAAAGGTTTGTGGAAACGCCCGCGGGTCACATCGGCTGTGAGCCTAATTCGGTCATGTTGGCCAGCATTTTTCTTATCCTCGAACAGATGCGCAACATCCGCATGCACGTAACATCCGCGTGTACCACAAATGATGCAGGTGTGACCGCTGGGAACCAACCTATAGCTCCTTCAGCCTTCCTCGAGCTGTCTTACCGGCTGTTGGGCGTTGTAACGACCCAGCGCATTGGCGCACCAGCGCACCAGGCTATTTTACATCATGTGGGGCCCCGATATGTTAACAAGAGCTTAGTTGGAATGATCATGCCGTCCTGTTTCGAAATTTGACGAAACAACCAAATAGGTGGAGAATACGAGAGCTAGGATAGATGCCCTCTGCGGCGACGTGTACCGCCGGCGCCAGGAGGAGCAGCACGCCGCGGAAAAAGAGGGTAGCGACGGGGGAGAGTCTAGCAGGTTAGTGCGCGGAAGGAGGAAGAACGCTTCACTGTTCGGCGGACTTTCGGCCTTGGATGTGATCTCTGTGCCCCCTCCACCCACCTCCCGGAGAACGACAGTTAAGGTCCACAAACCTCAGGTTATTGCCCCCCCGCGGATTGTGGCACAAGCAGCTCAATTCTCCGTGTCTCGATTATGGCGCGTGATCAATCGTCCACCTGACTCTCGGCGAGCAATACATTAGAATCCCCTCCCCACCCCCTACCCTTCCCCGTGATTCAATGCGCCTCCCCCCGTCCTCTGGTGACTGCTTATCGCAACGTGGTGTGTTTTGCCAGCAGAAAGCGGCGACAACGGCTCGTGATCTACCAGAGGAACCACGACCGTCGGCTCTTGTCCCTCGACGATAACGTGGCCGTGTTCCAGCACCTTCTGGGGCCGACGTGGGAGGTGGTGCAGATAGTGCATGACAACGCGCACGAGCCGTGCTGGCTCTACTCGCAGCTGATGGACGCCGATATGCTGCTGACTCCGCACGGGTATGTCAAGCATTAACAGGCTATGATTTCCTGTGTAACACGAGCTTATTGTTTCCATCCAGAAAATGCACGAAACCTCTAGACGACCGGTGAAGTGCCCGTGTATCAAAGTTCTCCTTTTCTACTGTAGCTGCAGATATTGTGTGTGGGTGAATCAAGCGACCTGGTGTAGCCATGGGTTTGAGTACGATTCAGCCAGGCGTGCGTGCTGAATTGGGGGAAAGCTGGGCTTTCACAACATGTTGCATGTAGCTGTCCTGTTTTTTCATCTACCGCTGTGCGTATAGTGTTTTTTGTCTACGTATGTTCATTGGTCAGCCGGGTAGCGGGGTCGATGCTAGTAGCGAAAGGCCACACGCACGCTGGTGGCGAGTTTGTCCGAGGTTTAGGTACGCTGGTGGGCGAATAGGGGCAAATAAGAACAGCACATCAAGCCAGAAACGTCTTGGCCTAAGCAGAACCAAACCTCAGGATTGCGTGCATCTGCCACAACTGCCAGCAAAAGGCAAACCTCCGATCGCGGTTTGCCTTTTGCTAGCGGCTGTGGCAGATGTACGCAATCCTGAGGGTTTCCTCCGTGTGTACTGGACGCCCCTTTGCTCTACCACGGGCCCACCAGCGTACCTACACCACGAACAAAGGGGGTTCACATATAGAACACCCCGTCGAGCCATCAATGATTTGGCGTACAGAAGCCAACCTGAGAATTGTTTGCATCTGCCACAGCTGCCAGGAAACGGAAAACCGCGGAAAACACCGCGTTAAGCCACAACCGATTTGGCCTAAGAGGAGCCAAAACTCAGAATTGCGCGTTCTGTATCTGCCACAGCTACCAGGAACAGCAAACGCGCTAGGGCGGTTTTCCTTTTCCCGGTAGCCATGGCAGATGCACGCAGTTCTTAGTTTCGGCTACTCTTCGGCCAAATCGTTTATGGCTCAATGGGGTGTTTTTCTTTGGCCCCCCTTTGCTTTACCACTCGCCCACAAGCGTACCTATACCCCGCACAAACTCGTCACCAATCAACACGAGGTTAATACATTGTGGTGTTCCCTCCTTTTTTCTTGTCTCCCTCTTCCGTCTCTGGTTCTCCTTGTGTTGCTCCGCGACCAACCAGTATGGTTTTTGTTGCTCTTCTTGCCTCCCAACACCATGGCCACCGACGTTCCTCGACATGCCGCCACGCCGATTGTTTCCTGGCAAACTCACGTGATTTATCCCTCGCCCATTCCTCCCTCCCCTCAAACTTTTACACCAGGTTCCAGTCGATGCTGCTGTTGTTCCTACCCCCCGGCGCCACCATCCTCGAGGTTTTTCCGTACAAGTACTGGAAGGAGGGCTACGCGCCCCTCGCGAAGGAGTGGGGCGTGCGGCACGAGCACATCATGTCCCGCCCGGTGTCCTGGGAGAAGCGGCTGGCACTGTTCTTCGTGCCGCTGGTGAGCTGAGCCGTCGGACGTTTGAGTGTTTTGGCACATCGCCTCTCCATTCCCTTGGCCCTAGGGAAGAACATCCTAATGGTGAGGGCTGTACTTGTGCCCTTTCGCAAGGACGGCAACGCGAGCCCTCAAAAACGTACGTTGTTACGCAGCAGTATGTTCCCTGTAGGAGACCCTGTTCCGGATAAACCAAGCTGGTCTTGAGCCCCCCCCCCCCCCCCCCCCCCCCCCCCCCCCCCCCCCCCCCCCCCCCCCCCCCCCCNGAACTTCGCGTCTTTCTCTGGAGCCCCGCCTTCGGCAAAATATTTTTAATCTTGCTGAACAAGACGATGACGTTTCCCCGCCCGCCTGCTTGCCACCTCTGCTTATTCTCTCGCCCAGCCTAGCCAACACTCCGACCATGAACCACTGTCATCCTTCCTCTCTCAACCTTTCCTTCCCCACCCCTCAGAAACCCCCCACACGTGTTTCAAACTATTGGGTCTTCGCGTTTGTCGGACTGATTTTTTGGGCACATACATCCACCCGCCCCCAGCCAAAATATCGAATGATCGGAAAAGCACTTCGCCCCCTCCCCACCTACCGTTGATTAGTGCGATGCCCACTCTCGCGACTTTCTTTTCGACACGTGAAGCATGTCACGGCAAGAGACGGTGTTACCATTCGACCGTTCGCGTCTGACGGTCGATCGATGCTTTCGTGAGGCACGTGTTCTCTCTCTACCAGCCCAGGCGTCTTGTAGCTGTAGCTGAGAGAGCACTTGCAACGGAACAGCTTCCATGAACGGAAAACACCCCTTCCGACGCAGACAAATCACGTTATGCTTGTTTCGTTGTCCGAGCTGAAATCGCCCAACGCCCGCGCTGCGTTTTCCGACTATCTTTTCTGTGTGTGTCTCTCTCCCTCTCTTTCTCTCTTCCCAGGAGCGGTGTATGAAGAGCATCCACTGCCGCAAATGGAGCCGCAGCGCCGACGTGCGCCTGGAGGAGCACCACCTCCGACAGATAGCCAAGGCCGCAAAGCAAGCCTCGAAACGGAAGCGAGAATTTCTGTCGCCGCCTGCCCCGCCTGGCCAATAGCGACAGGGGCGTCAACTGTAGTGGCGAGGGAGTGCGAGATTACGGCGCGAGGGGGAGGGCGGCGGCTGCCTCTGCGACCAAAAGGCGTGTCCGCAGCGCGGGCGTCATAGTTGCCGTAGGTGGCAGCGGCGACAGCGGTAGTTGTTGCGCAGGGGGTGGTGCCGCTGTGTAAAAAGGGGGGTAAGAGGCGAAGTACGAGCAGCTCATTTTGAGCCTCCTTTGAGCCTCTTGGCGATAAGGCATCCGTCCGTCGAGACGGGGGCGTGGCTGCACTTTGGAGTGCTGTTGCTGCCCCCTTGGTGTAACAATCTTCTCCGTCCTGCGTGCGCGGCCGTTCGTGGCCTATCGAAATTGAAAAATCCTCGCACCATTCACGGGGACGAGCACTAACGACAACAGCGGAGGCGGTAGAGGTCATCATATGTTGGCGCGTTGAGCACGCCGCGGGCCAGGGAGGGAAGAGTATCCACGGGGAGGTAGAGCAAGCGGGAGAAGGTGGCAGATTAGCCGCGAATTCCGCAGTCGTATTGATGTATGTGATGCCAAAGAGGTGTTGTCGTGTATCGTGTGTGTCGTGTGCCGCTAGAAAAAGTGAGAGTATATTGATGTTATTGTGTTGTGTGGTGTGGCATGGTGTCGTGCAGTTTCGGTTTGTTTGGTTTAGGTATTCTGGCGAGTGTGTGAATGGTGTGGTGTAGTGTGTGTGTTTCCATATTAGCTACTCCGTGCGTCTTTTGTACAGAACGTATGCTACCGTTACTGTAGTAAAAAAAAAACTCTTATTCTAAGCCAATATAGAGCTTCGTTTTTCGGGACAACACATCGCGGTCGCGAGGGCTGGAAAACAATACAATGGGTAGGAAAAGCGTGTGGTGAAAGGGTTTACTATTTATTCTTGTGTCTGCTTGCCTTGTATAGATAAAATGCGTTTTTTGGTTTGTTTTTATGGACGCCTGGTGGCACTTTTTGTTTCGCATTTATTGGGATTTTTTACGTTTTTACCCTCGGGGGTGCGGTCTCCACGCGTACATGTCGAAGTTGCCGCGAGTATTGTGCTCGCCGCGCTTGCTGTTTCGCCGGAAGTTTTGTAGGTGTAGACGAAAGAGAGAAGGAGATGGGGCGTCCGTACTTCATGACAGAGGCAGGAGGGGGTCAAGTCGTCAATTTCGGTGTCGTCTGGTCCTTTTTCGGATGTTGTGGTTTCGCCGGCCTCGACGTTGCGTGCACTCTCCTATCCTTCATTTGTGCATTCACTCAAGCAGGTTATGTACTCATCACCCGGGCGCTTTTTTTCCGGTACGAAAGTTTCGAGCTCCTTGTCATACCAACGCAAGCCATAGACCTGTGTGCTTGTTCGTGTTTGTTGTTCTCGGTCTTTGCCCCACCCCAGTCCTACACGTCTTGTACGGGCTTGCATTTTTGTGGTTCTGGTGGTGAAGGCGTTTCTATTGATGGCGCCCTTCTATGTTTGTGTCTTGCGCCGTGCTTGCTGTGTTGTGCCCGTGTCAGAGTTTTATCTCTCTTGTTGGTGCTTTCCGCCGTGTTAACTAAAATACACACATGGCATCAAGAAAGCGTGAAACACCCGGTCGAGATGGTACCCGTTCTGACGGATGTGTTGGAGGTCTTTCCAGGGAGGGCTTCTTGTTCGGGGGCAGTCACGCCGCGTGCGTTTGAACACCCGCGAAGGTCCCACAACAGTCTACTGCATGTGTAGGGCGTCGTAGAAAAGAGATAAACCGGTCGTCTCGTGACCGCGACGCGACTCTTCTCCTCCATGGAGACCAGATTCGGACAAAAAAACTGCTCTCGTCTCGCTCGAGACCAGCTTAGGACAAGAAATTGCTCTCTTCTCGCTCGAGACCAGTTTCGGACACAGAAACTGCGGGTGGAAATGTTGAGCAGGGAAGGTGTCTCGTACCCTGCTTGCCCGTCCGGGGTGGTTGTTGCCGGCCGGCGGACGGAAAACAACCACGGCTGTTGCCTGCACGGCAAGGCCGCATGCCACTCAAGCCAGAGAGAGGCGCTACCCTACGAAAGGGTTCTCATCGAATTGCTATATGCTACGCTGCTACGTCGTTTCGTGCAGATTTTCTGGTTCGTGGAAATGCCCTTGTCGGTCTACGTGGCGATACACTCGGCTTGACGCCGAGGATGATCGTCACGAAGTCGCCATGCTTCACACGCCGGTGGTGCTTGCGGGCGACACGGGAGAACGGGCCCATCTAAGGTAGATGACTGTGTCAGTCCCCTGTCATGTTTCTATTTGTGATTTCGTTGTTTCTCTTAACGCTTCGTTCAAACAGACGTTCGGTATTCATTCAGGCTATCTACAAACCCTGGTGGACAAGTTGACCCGGTGCAAAACTCAACCGGAATGAAACAGAAAGGAGCACGACCACAAAGACACTGCTGTCGAGTGTATACTACGACGGAGCCCCCAATACCGCGGCAGGATTCCCCCGGCCCTCTGCTACTCGTCGTCCTATGGTCATCTCCTCGCGCACGCTCTTGGCCTCTTCTACAGTGGCCAACGCCCCTCCGAGAGCGCCAGACTCCCGCCTCGGGGTATGGCCTGTGCTTCCGGCGGCAGCGGTGGCTGTGGCTGTGATAATATCTTCCTCGCTGCTGCTAGCGGCGAATGTCAGGGCCTCCGATAACCTCCTGGACGACTTGAACGGCTCAGAGTCCGAGCCGACGATGCGCGGCGAGCGCGGCGTTCGGGGAGTGAGCGCAAAGCGGTCCAATGCAATCGCCGCGGCTGCAGTCGAACTCCTCCGTATTGCTGGGCTGGTGGAGCTGCCGCTCTGTCGGATCCCCTTTTCGCTTGCCCCGCCTTCTACTGCAACAATATGAGGCGAGCCCGGACTCGTCCCCTTCGATGAATCTTGTGTCTCAGCTCCGTCTCCTTGTCTTCTTCTGGTGGGCGCTGTTCCGGCTTCTGTCGGCGACGCTTCGTGGAGGGCCGCGTTAGACTTAGTGGTGTCTGCTTGTACCGACACCGCTGTGCTCTCGTCGTCGACCCCTGGTGGTTGACTTGGTGCGAGTCGAGGGGTCCCTTCTCCCTTGTCTTCGTAGCCCTTGTCCGACACACCGGTGTTACTGCTCCCTCTTCTCCGCATGGAATCGCTGTCTTCGGTTGTCGCCGCCGCCACCGCCGCCGCCATCCCCTCGCCCTCCGACTCGCCCCCGTCCGGACACCCGCTGGCCTCTGCGCTGCTGCTGCCGCTTACACGCTTCAGTCTCGTGGACCTGTGAGCCCGCGGGGAGCGCGGAGACTTCGGGCGGGCGGGCGCGGCAAGGCTGTTGTCGCTGCGATCGACGCTGTCGGTTTCGTGATCACCGCCACCGTCGACGCCGTCGTCGCCCTCCTCCGACTTTTGAAACCCCGTACCCCGACTTCTATGTTTTCTGTCTCCACCGTTACCTACAATACTTGAACCACTACCTCGCGGACTTCTGCTGGAGTACTTGACGCCATCGCCGGTTTTTCTCCTATCCCTCCAGCGCGAGCCATGCGAGCTGGACGATTTGTTGAACGATTCCGCCGACGAAAACGATTTGACACTGCCGCCACTGGACGCTGAATGCCACTCCGTGGTGCCTTTCTCGTAGTCCGTCGACCGTCGTCGTCTTTCGATCCCGTCGCGTTTGACGTCATTGCTCGATCGCGATCCGTCTTGTGAGTCGCCGTCATCACCCTCGCTGCCTCTTCCTGCAGGAGGCGTGATCGAACCGCCCGTCGCCCACGACATGACGTTTCGCAGTCCCTTGCTCTGCTGAGGGGAGCCGAATCGACGCCCGGGAGTGGCGTTTCCGCCGCCGCCGCCTCCGCCACCTCGCGCCCCCCCGCACGCGCAAGGTACCCGCGCCCCGCAACACGGGCAACCCCCCCCTCCGGTGGCCGCCGCCGTAGCCGCCGCGGCCACGTTTTCGTCCTCGTCCGCTCTCCCCCCCACCGGGACACCGTTAGCCGTTATGCTGATCGCACTCGGGCTCCTTACAGAGTTCCTGTCTACCGTCCTCGTCCTACCGGCGGCGGCGACCGCCGCAAACCCACCTTCCCCTACCCCCCCCGCTGTTTCCATCGGAACACCAGCAGCCCCTTCGACCCCCTCAACGCTTCCTCCCCGTGCCTCTCCCGGGTGGCTCTTGGAGTCGGCCCGGTTCAAAGTGTCCGTAGCGGTCTCGTCTTGAGTACCGGCGGGCAGAGTCCCGCAGCCGTCGGTGACGTCCGGAGGGATCTGAGGATCGTCACCTCCGTGCTCGATGATCGAAGCCACCTTGCGGGTGGTGGTAGATGAGAGAGGGAAGCGGGAGAAGGTCAAAAGGGGTTGGGGGCGGCGGGGGGGGGGACAACACTGTACGCGGTGTGGGCCCCTAGCAGTGGGAATACAGAATACAAGTTTGTTGACGTTGGCTGGAACCACAGACTAAGCGACGTGTTTGCTGTGCCATGCAGCATCGCTACTGCTGTCCCATAATCTAACTTCAACAGCAGCCACTATCGATTATGGGTGCGATCCAGCGCATGCCGGTAACTTACGGCGAGGTCCGTTGCGTGATTGCCTCCAAAGGCGACACAAACGCACACACACGACACGTCTCGCAGCAAGGCCGGCCGCGCGCAAAAACGTAGTTGCGTTATCCTACGTACCGTAGATACCCCAAAGAGAGTGGCTTCGCGCAGAACCGGGCACTTCTGATCTCCTCACCTGAGCCTCAAGGTCCTTGATGTCGTGCCGTCGTTGGCGCTCCGCCATGTTCATGGGACGGTAGTGCTTCACGAACGAGCTCATGTGCCGGCGCAGCGGCTGACAAGCGAGCGCCTGCGAGGAATAACCCAGACATAAAGTTGACCTTCAAGGCAACGGCAGCCGTCGAGCTACAGAACACGACGACACTACTCCTTTGGGCGAGTCTCCTGAAGAATTATATTGAGAAACGACGTCAAATATTGTGCCGCCGTTTCTAGCCGACAATCTCGGCGATGGGGCAGTCGACAAAAAAAACTCTACCCTACCTACCGCCGTTGAACCCCCTCGCCTCCTCACCGTCTCTTTCTGGGTACGACTCCAACTTCTTGGACGTCGTCGTCACCCCCGTACGCTACTTCTAATGACCACATGAAAACGAAAAAGAAACGGCTTCGCCACATCCCAACAACAAAAAGGGCGATTGAGAGCTCTGCACTGGTTGGTACCAGCGGTGAGGCAGGTTGTAAAAATAACGCATCCAAGAGTCCCCTTCGCTAGGGGGGTGGGAGGGAACAGGAGAAAGCATGCACCAGCCATCTCTTTCAGGTGGGAAGTAGAGGGTTTGGGGTTTGGATGGAGCACCTGAGTCAGGGTTGGCCGTCGGAGCGGGTCCTTCTGCAACATCCAGCGAGCGAGCGCGGTGACCTCGTCGCTGTAAACTTCTGGAAGTGGCGGTGGCGGCGCCTTGATCACCTGGAAAGTATGAATGGTTTGCGTAGCGCACTTGCTGTCGTTTCTGCCGCCTGGATTGCACTGGCATGCGTCCGCCGATCGAAGACACTTTCGGTATGGGAGGAGTCTGGATGTGATCTTTCAGTGCTACCTCTGTGTGTTACTCGGCCGCGCAAGACGGGGCGGCATCAACGCGGAACTGAATCAGACAGCACCTGGCACAAAACCGCCCGTCAGGACGGTGCTTTTACAAACAAAGGACGGACGTAAGAAACAAAAAGCCCCCTCGTACCTCTTTGTTCTTTACCGCTCAGTCGATTTCCATCGACCACGGTGCACGGGTGGCCAGAGGTATCAGGTTATAGGAGCATGAATTACAAGCTTAAGAAGGTTGCACACTACACAGCGGGCGGCTAACCCCGTCATCGCGGATTGCAGCGGTGATCCAACCAACAGGGCGGGCTGGGTGGTAAACGGCGTCCAACCTGCCAAATCTGGCCGCCGCCAACTGTGTGGAGGCGTTCCCGGGGACTTGGTCGTTGGGATGCTCTTCGGGAGCGGTGCTAATCGTTGCGAACGCACCTGGGACACTAGCGCTACCACATCCCTCGATCGGAACGGCACGTCCAGCGAGAGGAGCTCGTAGAGGACGATCCCTAGGCTCCACACGTCGGAGGGGAAGCCGTACGGCTGGTTGTTGCACATCTCCGGAGAAGTGTAGTACGGCGTGCCTACCTGCGGTTTGGTTTCGTGGCGGCGGCACCGGCACCGGTGGTACGGGCCGACGACGTGGCGGGAGGTCGTTCAATGATAACGTGCGTCAGGGGGGGTACTGCCGTGGGTGCGATTGCTTGCCCGGCTGATATGGTGCGAGCCGTGCTTCGTGAACCGGTAGTGGTGCTCATCGTCGACGATGGTGGCGGTGGCGGGTGTGGCGGGATGCGCACCGCGTGTTTCCGTATCCAACTCTTGCAAGAAGCCGCGTGGAACTTGCTTGCTCAGCCACCAAAACCTTGAATTAAGACAGCTGCTGGTAGATGGAGCACACATGTCGCACACAGCAAAGCCACCGCAGCGTTGTACGAAGAGACTGAATATCCGTCGCTCACCTCGGCTTTAACCTGCTTGTCGCCATCGCTTATGACCTTTGCGAGCCCGAAGTCCCCCAGCTGGACGATCTTCTTGCTGTCCATGAGGAAGACGTTGTTGGGCTTAATGTCTCTGTGCAGCACCTTCTTCTCCTCGTGCAGGTTGTGCACGCCTAGGCACAGCTGTACAAGCGCCGCGTTGTTGGCGTTTTCGGTGGCGGTTCCAAAGCGGGGTCGAGTGGGGCACCGTGTCGGCAATTGTCGTCGGCACAAAACGGTAGAGAACATCGTTCGGATCGAACAAACGGGTGAGGCACTTTCTTCATTCAGTTCCCTCTGGCAGGTGAGAGAAAAACCCGTCGAAATTACGGAATAGTTCTGGAGGGAGCCGTCCATGTGGTTTCATGGATAGATGTGGCCCGGTGCTGAGGCGGGCCCTGGGCTTAAACGGCTTACCCCACCTAAACTTCCTCCAGCTATCGAGCAGGTTCACATACGGCTCTGGCTTGGGTCGTGATGGGTCGCCTTCGAGAGGGTCACGCTCCCTTTGCCACTGCCAAAGCTACGTCATTCGACCGTTGGGATGCTCGGTAGATTCAACTTGTGAAGTATCGTGGTAAGTAACCAAACGACCTGACTGTACGCAGTACTCGTGTTCCCGACAACCAGCCGACCCCCTAAAAATGTGTGTCATCTGCTGCGTGCCAAGACTCTTGACGGTGTTGCTGCCGTAGCTACAACCACAGCAAGGGTCATGTTCCCCGGCGACTGCGTACCTGTGCAAACCATCCCAACACCGTCTTTTCTCCCAGAGGCGATTTAGTCTTGGAGGCGTGCTTCACAATTTTGGCGAGATCCCCCGACTCGCAGTAGGTCGTCGTGAGGCACACCAATCGGCTGTCGGCGCTCAGAAAGACGTCGAACAGCGTCAGCACGCAAGGGTGCTTGAGCCACTTTAGCAAACGGACCTAAACGCGCGCCCCCGCAAGAGGGAAGGGGAAACGTCCGTCGTGAAGCCGTTGAAAAGTACAGTTGAACTTGTTGCACATCCACAAACACTTCCCAATCGAACCCGAAACTCGAACGAAGAGCTGTAAGTATGCGGTTTGTTCTCCGTTCTGCATACCGCACCATAATCGTGGGACTTTCTAGAACATTTCTGAGTATTTCAAATCTCTACCAGGCGATAGAGGAAGTTTCTTTTTGTGGGCAAACGAGGCTACCTCACGAGGCAAGTTCCGTTCGGATAGGTCGCGAGAATTGCGATGGCCTCTTATTCCCTCCGTCCCGGTAACGCAAGGTAAACCTTTGCCACTGGCGCCGAGAACCAACAAAACCGAGTGCGTCTTCCGAGATGAATAAAACGGTCGAATTGCCCGATATCGTGGGAAAGTCTTTATCATGGTCGAGCGGCTTGCATCTCTGCAGCGTACGCAAGATATTGGTAGTGGGCACGGTCCCGGCAACACGTTTGCTGGACAAGAAGTTTAGCATGAATTAACAAAAAAAGGTGGTCTGTTTGACCGCTATTGATCAGGAAAAGCAGCAGCAGTACTTAGGACAAGGGATGCCGTGGTATTGACACTAGTCTACCAAACGACACAGACCATAGCAACCAAGTGTCGATGACGGGTATGCTGGAAGTCTCTTTCCTTGCAAAGATCTGCCTGTATTTCTGTAGCGGGCTATATAAAGCTATAGTGTCATTGGGATCCTTGTGCCACGTCGCCTGCGGAAGTAGCGCAAGTCGCCAGCAAGCGGTTGACGAAAACACGCAGCCGTGCACATCGCCGCACCTCAGCCATCGCTGTGACGCGTTCCTCCAATTTATCTGCGCAGTTCAGCGTTTTCATTGCGTACAGCTTGCTGTCTCGGTGGTCCTTCACCAAGGTCACCGCCCCAAAGCTCCCCCTCCCGAGCACGCGCATCTTCTCGTAGCGTCCTGGAACTTCCATGGGGAGCTCCTCTTCCCCCACCTTGAACACCGGAGAGGTGCGCTCCCGCTCAACCCCGCCCTCGCCCCCGCCCCCGCCCCCTCCAGGTCTGCTTGCGTTGCCACCGCCCACCCCCCCGACGTTCGTGCTGATGGCGGGGTCTCGAGAGATTATCGGGCCGTCTCTGCCGTGCCCACCCCGTTCCGCCAAGCTGGGCGTGTCGGAAACGGCCGTGTCTCTGCTCCGACGTAAGGGGTCCCGGTTGTGGGAGAGCCGGCGATCCACGCCGTCGCTGCGTTCGTGCCGTTTGTTCGTGTTGGACGCGTACTGGTTGTGAGCTTGTTGTGAGGTGGCTGAGTTTGGCGACGTCTCGAATGTACCGGCCGTGCATGCAAATCATCGGAGTAGCAATGGTAGAGCGGGGTATAGCATGCTTTGCACGTTCAGAAGTCAGCGTCGCCTGCGGCTGTTTCATTAGCAACCCACCGCATTCTTCTAGTGCAATTTGTAAAGGTGGCAAAACGCTCTTGCTTGACAACGTTGTCCCCTAAGGAACTAACTGTTTTTGTGTCTGCTTTGGGGTCAGGCGCTTGCCTTTCAAGTATTCACTAGGAAATCTAAGGGAAATAACTGTTTTTTGTCTGCTTTGGGGTCAGTCTTACTTTGTGCTTGCCGTTCAGGTGTCCACGAGGAAATTGCAACAGAGGGGGGAAAGGACGACCTTCTGGTCATACCGAGATCAGTTGTGTACGGCACTTCCTTACGAAGGTGTACCGATTCTGGTAAAATTCAATCGACGGATACCCTGCGAATCGGGTCATCCTCATGTTAGAGACCAATTGTATCGGTATTGAATGTCGACGTTCGTCGTTCCCGGCAAGGGCTCAGGTTGATGTCGAAAAATGTACCCAACCCTGCACGGTCTTATTGATCAGCCAACAGGAGTTCGATAAATGACAGATATTTTTTCAGTCGACATTACCACATCCATCACGCAGCATACGAACGCTTGTGGTCCTCACGTGTGTGGTATTTTTCCACCGCCAGGACTCTCCACAAGCGAAAACCAGAAATTTGTAGTCCACAGGTTCACATCATCTAACCCAAATGGCGATTGTGGTATTTTGTTGTAAACAAGCAAGAAGTGAGACACATACCAGTGTTTGTAGAGGTATGGATTGATACAAAGAGTGTGTTTTGGGGAGTAAGTTTCGACTAGAGAAAAGGTCCACTTCTTAACTTCGCCAGAGAGGGAAAAATAGTCACTGCAATTCGTCGGTGTTTGCGGCCCTGCTTCACTGGTGATACGACCACATTGGCTACAAATGGTCTTGTCCGGAATATCTGCGCATATGTGCAGACTGGGCACACAGCGCCTGCGCACCGAGAAAACAACTACTACTTCCTTCGTATAAGTTATCGATTGAGTGCTGCTGTTGTTCACGGTGATGGCAACGGAGAAAAAATACTGGTGTCTACGTCGTTGGAAAATGGGACGATGTCTGTCGCGGTCCACAACCCTTGAAATAGTGAGGTCGCGACACAACGCTATTCGCAGCCGGCTGGAGGGATCAGAGCCAAGCACAACCCACCATTATCCACGATACTTCTATGCATAGAACTTCATGCGTAGAAGATTCTCCTCCACAACAACATGCCCGAACCTGCTGTGTACTTACCTATGCGACGAACCCATATCCGACAATATTCGCCTATGACCCCCCCCAACTCCTCCCGCTCCAGCTCCTGCTCCTGCTCCTAGTCTCGAGGCCGTGGTGCCGAAAACATCTCCTCCTCCAGACGCCGCTGCTGCCTCCTCGGCTGCCAACCTTGAAAGCGAAGACAGCGGATGCTCTGGTCGATCGTTGCCGCTGCCATTCTTGCTGTTCGTCGCGGACCTCGTCACCCCGCGCGACATCGACGTCTTGGCGCTCCGCATTTGTTTACTATCAGCGTCTAATCTTCTTGTCCGTCGGCTATGCTGAGGAAAGCGGGAGGCGGATTCGCTGCCCCCGCCCCCGCTGTGCTGTTGCGTCAACGTCATGTGCCAACCGAGTCATGGATCGACAAACAGACTCTGGTCGCAACGGACCCCAACCGACTTGCTACAATAGTGCCGCCACTCTCGTTCGCTGCAGGTTTCGTGGCTCGCGTCGTGACTTACAATGCCGTGCGCACACGTACTCGACTTTTGAGCCCATGCATCCCCTCTCAAGACCACGGCGTATGTATGCTGTATGCCCTCCTTTGTTAGAAAGTAAACTCCTTTTCCAAGGGGACCCATGTGTCGAGAAGGAGAAGGGTTAAGATGTACGTGTAACGGTCGTTTTAGAACCATAACCCCTACGACCCGCGAAAGCCTGTACGATTCTGCGGCGCCCCCACGTACTTGCTGTATGTGACGTGTGCCCCAGGCACGAAACACAGCACCGAGGGAAGGGCCTTTCACCACCGGTCTGCTCCCCGTTCCACCGCCGTCGGGGTTTTCGTGTCCCAGCGATACCGTTGGCGTTGTTGGCGCGCGATAGTGCGTGTGTCGACAGAAAACCCAACATAACGTCACAGCTCCAACTTCAAGTCGGCAAACGGCTGTACTCCTGCCGCCAGGGTGAGAGCGAATAGTATGTGGGTTGTAGTAGCAGCGTGGGTGCTGTGCTTGGCCTCTCTCTCCCTCCCCTGGCCCGGCTACACCCTCATCGTTCTGCTGTGCTGCGTCGCCTTCTTCGAGCTGGCGAGCCCGACGGCTTGGGTCGCTACCGCGAGAGGGGGAGGCAACAACCCAGCGGCGGCCGGTCGAACACCGTCAACGATAGACATGTCCGACACACGAAAGGCGACTGCTATTCCTGGGCCGCCGCCGCCGCCGCCGGCTGCTGCCACCGAAGCTACTGCTGTTGCGTCATACGCAAGATGCAGCCCTTCGGTGGCCTTCGCGGGCGTGATTCGCTACCTGGCCAGCCACTTGCGGCGCCGAGGCGGGGGTGAGATTGAGGAGGTTGTTACCACGCAGGTGGGGTCCGGGGACGACCAGGATGATGATCATGCTCTCCGCAAGGAACAGCAGGAGCAGTCGAAGACCGCCAAAGTAAGCCTCCGCGGGGTATGTATTCGGCATCCCCGTGTAGATACGAAGTAGATCGTCGAACCTTGAGCATTTCAGACCGTATAGTTGGAATTTAGACGTTGTTAATTAAGGGGAGACACCCCGTGTGTGTGCGGTGCGATCCGCCTCTAGGAGAGGCTGGTCTTTCATTCGGAACCCCGTAACCTCAGCCGGGGCGTCCATCGGCGCGGCCTTGATTTCCTCACACGACGCCATTAGCGGCGGCAGCAGCAGCAGCAGCAGCGGTTTGTGCAGTTTCAGCAGCCCCTGGTACGCAGCACCCAGGAAGAATCTACGCCGGACACTTCAGTAAATCTTGAGTTTTAGCACTGCTACATGTACACGGGGCATCTCCGAGGATTCATGCAGTACAGCAGTAGTGCCTCCTACGATATAAGAGAATCGATATAAAACAAAGTATGGATACAAGGGTCTGTGCGGAAAAAATCCGGCCACATAGGCCACCCCCCCCCCCCCGGAGAGAGAAGAAATTCGAAAAGCGGTTCGTCGAAAAATTACCATGAGGTTGATGTGAAAGCTGGTCAATGACCTGTTCCGATTGATTGAATGGACTGATTTCGAGCGTTTCGATCGATACTACTAGTTATACTACTTTCTGTGCTGTACTGCCGTAACTACTGTACTTTCTTCAAACTCCTTGTCGTGCTCGAACTAGGCTGGTTGTTTCCGTGTGTGCTCCTGTAGTAGCACGGCTGGGTGATGAGTGTGGCCGGCATCGATGACGAGGAGGTAGATGATGCAGAACGGGTGACGAGAGTGAGGCACGTACCACCTGCCTTGCAAACTTGCCCTTACCGTCTCCTCTATCTACAACACTGCACAACAGGGAACATAGTCTCGCAAATCTACTCGTAGCCTTGGTCTTCTTGTAGGGTAACGTTTGACTTGACCAATCGGCCACACGGACTGGCGACTGGTGGGCTGTAAGCGGCTGCCCCTGGTATGCATGCGAAGATTGCGATGATGACCCTGTAGTGCGCGGGGTGTCTGCCATCTCTCGGGGGTCTCCACAGCTCCACAGAGAGAGCCAGCAGCGCCAGCGGTGATGCACACCATGCGAG